CCATAAATCGTCAGCAATCAAATTGAAAACTTTCTGCTGCATAACTTTGATAACCTTTACAAATGTCATATTGCTAAACCCTTGTTAGCATATATTTAATATTCAATCAAAGGCGCCTCGGATAATCCATTCATGGTGTCGTCACACACGATCCATGTTTGCCCAGCCAGAATATTTCAAATAAACTTCTAATAAGTTCATTCAACAAAGCGAAGTACGCACAAAAGTGTTAAAATGTGTAAACAGTTGATAAATGTGGAAAAACTCTGAACAACTTCGTTTCTTTATTGAGTCTGCAGCAAGTGCGATTACGTGTTTTTGTTGTTTATATTTATTCAAGTTGAGTTGTTGTTGTGTTGTTCAATTTAACGCTTGTTATTGTTTGTTTTCAATGAATTTTCTGTTGGGCTTTTTTTTCAATAGCAAACTTTATGCCAGCAATTGAATGCGCTTTTCTTTGATTTCACTTTTCTATCCCAGTCTATATATATGTATGTATCTGTATATATGCAACTGACATTTAACTAAAGCTCTTGCGCAGCCCCCGCCTCAGTTCATGTTGAAATATTAAATGCATTTTGTAAATTTCATGCAAAACATTTTCCATTAAATATTTATAATACTTTGGTTTTTACCTATTTTTTTTTTGCACTTCCATTTCCTGTTAATTGCATAGTTATAATTGCATTCGAACTTGTTGGCCCTCGCAATTGCCGGCTAATTAAAACTTGTGTGCATATAAAACTTATTTTCAACTATTTATTTGCACAAATATCAAAAATGTTTGCACCAAGCCAAACTATGCCCGCAGGTTACGCTTTTCAGCGCAGCATAAAATATAGAATGGGAAAAAAATAGGAAAAATAATATGAAATATAGTAAAATATAAATTTGCACATTCCTGAGCATTGTTGTTGTTGGCCAGCGGGCGGCAACTGGAAAAATATTTACAGCATATCAGCGTATACATATAAATTTATTATGCCTGTAAAGGGAGCTGCATAAACAGTGGCGCGCGGCGGACTTGGGTTGGGGAGAGGGTAAAAAAAAACATTCCTCTTGCTGCGTTTTTGGCGTTATAAAGTTTTACAGCACACATGTTGCACGGACTATATGAACTCAAGCTCCCAACAACCAAGCATGCCATAGCATGCCCCCTTTCAGCTGCTTGCTGCACAGATACAACAGCAAAACCAATAGAAAAGCGCATAAAATGTTATTTATTTTAACGCAGTGCTTAACGAACTTGCTATGCTCTTTCAGTGAAGGAATATTAAATAAATATTTGATTGAGTTGAAAGTAGATGCGGATTTAAAGTTAACATTCTGTGAGTCAGGAGTCATATGTTCCTTCTTGGAGCTGGTTTTGATAGTTTCGCCCACGTCTGGTAACGCTTTTAGCCAGTGTTGGTTAGGGATTACAATTAATAGATACTTTGGGGAGCGTGCACTGGCACATAAGTTAACACTTATCGATATTTAAATAATCCAGCATTCAGAGAACGAAAGCGAATATCGATCTATATTTAGTATACTTATATATATTATTTTATATATCTTTTACGTATGCGCTTAGAGATCATTGTCTTTTGCGTAACTATTGAACTTCCTTTATACATTCTTGAGTTTGCTAACTGATCTGCACTTACAGCTTTACTTATTGTACCCATATGCTTGCCTCTGCTCAACCAGTATTGCATTATGTCCAATCACATTAGATAGCTATGATGTCTATTCCTTCCGCTAGTGTATGCCAATTGACAGCAGCAGTAGCTGCTGCAGCAGCAGCAGCCGGCAGTTGTTCGCGTTGGTATTCGCATTTCGCATTCACTTACATTGCACATAAGTACTGGCTATATAACGACTATAGAGCCACTATAGTCCTCAACTCATGCGAGTGCTGCTCAGAGGAGAGCAAATAAAAAGGCGGCAAATGTGGCAGAACGAACCTGGCGAACGGCAGCGGGGCGCGCAACTTGCAACAGGGCAGCGCAAAACTATTGACGAGGATGCGGCAGTAGCAACAGCTGCTGCTGCTGCTGTAGCTGTAGAGTTTTCTCTCTTGGAAAAGCCAAAAAGAATATTGTGAATGCGAATGCGAGTGCAGTGAAAACTACGGCAAAAGTGCAGAACAAATGGAACAAGTTACAAAAGCTAAAATGCCAACCGAACAGCAGCAGCAGCAGCAACAACAGCAACAAGAACAATTCGGCCCTGGCAGCAATATGAACAACAATCTTGAATATTGCACGTTACATATGTAGATACATTTCCTGCAGCTGCAGCGGGGGTGGAGATGTGTGTGTGAGTGCCACGTGGCTGGCAGTTAATTTAAAAAAAATTTTATTTACATTTCGCCTGCTGGCGAGCGGCTTTTGCTTGTTGTTGTTGCTGCTGCCGTTTGCATTGTTTACATTTGCAGCAGCTTCTACTTGACTTGCAGCAACAAATAGCAACAGCAGCAGCTACAACTCCAACTATAGCAACAACAACAACAATAACATTGAGCGAGCGAGTGACTATAAAGCAGCAGCTGACGCCGCTTGGGGCTACGCCGGGGGGGGGGGGGGGTCGATTGGGTGGGGTTAGACCATCGCGGCTCTGACTTGAGTGCTGCTGGGGGCGGCCGCTGCTGCTGCTGCTGTTGCTGCTGCTGCTGTTGCTGCTGCTGCTGTTGCTGCCATAACAAAAACAGCAGCCAACGGGCCAACCTGCGATGTGTTTTTATTGTTGCCCTCTGGCAGCCACACATGACGCTTGATGCTGATGCTGATGACTACAAGTTCATGATGTTGATCATCTTTAACATCATCATGTTGTTCGGAATGGTTGCAAGTGCCTAGAGTTATGCAGCAGCAGCAGCAACAGTAGCAACAACTCGTTTGTCCTGTCGTCTAACCAAAAATGGTAACCGTAACTAGAAATGGAAATATTTGATAAACTTTGTATTTTTCAAATACACTTGAAAAAATAAAAGTTGAAAAAGCGCAGCAGGGCACAAATTCAATTAGAAAAGTTGCAAAATTAGATAGTTTGCTGGAATGAAATAATTAATAAAGTTTTCATGCCCAAAATTATGAGAGCTGCTTGCAAATTCATTAGCCCCAGCGTTGCGAATGTTGCCAGGTAAAAGAAAATGCTGCTAATTATGTATGTTAAATAACTTATTTAGACTTTTATGATAAATGAATAAGTAAATGTCAAGGCACAAATGCAGCACTTTGGGTGCAAATTAAGTGAAATCTTGATAGTAAAAATGTATAGGATAAACCTTTGTATAAAACATTATTGTGGAGAAATTATAAACAAATTTCTTGCACAGAAATAGCTTAAAGCGGACACTGCTAAAACTCGAATAGTTTTTAAGTGTAGCTTAAAGTACGTAAATAGAAAATTCATCTAAAATATTCAACGAATATTCTTTGCATATTACGCATATTTGAAATGAACTTTTTACACTTTAATAGTTTCTTAAATACTTGTGTTGAGCGAAGATGTTTAATGATTTCTCAACAGTTTGAACTATTTCTTCTATTTGATAGCTGTATACATTTGAGCTCTTGAGAAATCTTTGATAAACAGCTTGTCAAGGTGTTGGCTCTGGCCGCCCCCTGCCACCCGCTCGAGTGTGTTCGTCTGCAACTCACCTGAGGCTCAGGTCTGGTTAGGTTAAATTCAAGTATCTCTGCACTGACAGCCCCGACTCTGACTCTGCCACACAAACTAACCAATCAGCTGTCTGGTGTCGGCTTGGGTACAAAAGTTTAAGCAACTAAAATTAGACAGCTGCTGCTTAAATGTAACAAGGTGATGATGGGGTAGAAATCTTTTCAAATTGACTAAATATTTACAAAGGCAATGAAATCTGCATAAAGTGCTTTGGTTGTTTCAGTTGCTCTCCGAGCTGGTTAGAGCTGCAATGGAGCAAATTAATTTAACATCAAATTAAATGAAATGCACTGCTGCAGGAGAGCAGCCCAGCCCGGGCAGACGGCAAACGGCAGCTGGCTGCCTGCTGCACTGGAGGGAACAAGTTTAGCTCAAGAAGACCAAGGACAACGCAAGTTCGTGCGCTAAAAGCAAAGTTTTTGTTATTGTTGTTATGTTGTCTTCTTTCTTTGGATGTCGCCTCCGTCGCCCTTCCACTGAATTTAATTATTTGGGTCAAAGGACGCTGTCGCGCCAGTTGCCAAGACAATGCCACTTACTGTTTGTCCAGACCACGCCTACGCACTGCCGCCCACCGGTAGCATAGATAGGCGCAGACGCCACACCCCACAAAAAAAAAAAAAAATGAAAAGCGAATTGAGTTTATTATAGACATAGACCAAGGGACTGACAGGGGGCAGTGTAGTGGCCTCTCTTATCAAACTCTCTGGGGGCACGTGGAAAACTTTTGTTTTATTTGCTTTATTTCTGTGCAAGTAATTCCGTATTGCGCCTAATTCTGTGCTACAACTTGCTGTCTCGCTCGCACAGTCTATGCCACACTCGCTCTGCCACTCTTTTCACTCCATGCCAAAGTTAAACAAAGCATCAAAAATTTGCTGCTGCTACTGCTGCAATTGCTCAACTGTTTCAACCGTTTCAGCAATTTCTACCATCTGTGTGTGGCTGCCCATTTTGAATGCCCGCCGCCCCCTTACCCCCTGATCATCAGCCCTGGCACAGCTACACGTCTCGTTTCGCTGGAAAATTACGCCATTCAAAAATTTGCTTTACGTGTTGCCCGAGTTTTCGCTTTTTATTTTTCTAGCTCAGGCTCTGAAAATTCGCTGGCCCATTTTTGGCCTAGACTTTGCGTTTGAAGCATGCTGAATATGTTATGAGCTTTGCCACTCGAAACAAAGATTGCTTTCAGATTGAATTTGATTATAATTTTTAGCTGTTGAATTACTTCGCATGTAATTCTCAACCTGATAAAGTCAACTTGCTCAAAGTGAACCTGTTCATAGGAACTATTACTGCAACAAAATAAAATAAATGAAAAGATTTGTCTCTTACAAATTGTGACACGCTACTTTTATAGGCTCTCTGAAAATGTATAAACTCTCGTTGTAAATAATTACAAAAAATAAGCTCCCTAAAAACGAATTGCACATATGATTAGGGAGTGCATCAACCGATTCGCCTTGCCTTTGGCTGCTTTTTGTTGTTTCTGGTCTGCAGCTAAATAAATAAAAGCAAAAGTTTCGCCCGACAGGATGGTTGTTGTTGCTCTCTCTCTCTCGCTCATGCCATGTCTTCAGGATCCGAATCAGTTTTAACAAAAAAATAAGCAGCCGCAGCAAAAACAACTACCACAAAGATAGCAACAATAACAATGTAAATGAATTCGTTGCGAACGTCCATATTGTCAGGAATCAACCACCATCTGGCAACTGCTCTATGGCATCCAGTAGTTCCTCAGCTCTCCAGTGTGCCCAGCTCCATGTGTGCGCATAGCTCAAAAAAGAAGAAACCAAATGAGTGGAAAAAAAAGAAGAAAACTTTGTCAATAATTTGGCCGCCTATTTAAAGCAGCCTCTGCCCAAATGGGCAAAGTTGATGGGCCAACAAAATTTGTCTAGTATGTTTTTTTTGTTCTATTTTTTTTTTGTTTACCATTAAAATTCCAGCCAGACAATTTACAAAAATTTGTGTTGTTTAAATAGCGCGGCAGCAACAACTTTTTCTGTGAGTCTTGTGTGTGTGTGTGTGTGTGTGTGTGTGTGTGCGTGTGTGTGTGTGGCTGCCTTTTTAAATTAATTTGGGGCAGCTTTGATTGCACTGACTGCGGCTGCCGCTGCTGCTGCTGCCACTGCTGCTGCTGCTTCCTTTTTTCTCGTTTTCCCAGGTCGTTACTGAAATTTGTAAAATGTTTATGCTTTTAACATGACCGAAAAAGCGGAGCATATAAAATTAGTTTGTAGAAAAGTTTTCCTTATATTTTTTCCTTTTGTCCATTGATTTGCCACAAATTGTGGCATAAAAATAAACTCGCAGCGCAATTTGTGCCTCGTATTTGTTCATTTGTAGCTCACAGATACAGTACAATTTGTTTACATCTGAGTTGTTCATATGTTTGTATTTTTATTTATTTTTATTTCGGACCTGGTCCTGTCGAAATGACCTGAAACGACAACCAAATTTATGCCCATATGCAGCCAAACATTTCATAAATCATTTCTAGCCAAATATTTGCTGTGGCCGGCACAAATTTTTGATTTCATTTTATGTCCCTGCCCCATTGTCGCCTCCATCTACGTATCTGTATCTGTATCTCTGTATCTCTCTCTCTGTATCTGTGGCTAATAAAAATTGTAGCACAATAAGCATTTTGGGCGTTTATCAGAATTGGCTTCCATGCTGTTTATTTTTTTGTTTTTTTTTTTTAAAAGCTTTGCCACATTTCATTTACATATGTGTGCAGAGTCGATTTAATTGATTTTTTTATTTTGATTTTGGCCCATGCTGTAAAGCACACACAAAAAAAGCCACTTTAAAATTGCTTGGATACTTGCACAGATAAAAATCTCTTTTGCTCTCTTAGTTTTGGCACAATGTTTATTTTTCTAGACATTTGCTTTGTAGTTTATCTTCCGTTGAGGATTGCCAATTGAATACATTTTATCTGCCACAAATCTTTAAACAGCATCTGCCCGTTTTTAAGGAATTTTGCATCTGTTATATTTGGCAAAGAGATATTGCCTCAAAAGCCAGAAAAGCTGCTCAAAATTAATTAAGTGGTCTGTTCGTCTTTATTATCGATAAAGGCAAGTCCATTTAAATTGAGAAAAGCAAATAAAGCACAGCTTAAAGAGCATGAAAATCATGGCACTTTAGCAGAAAATTGTCATAGATATAACCTTTGAGCTAAACTAGAAGATAATCTTTTAAATTAAGGAATCCTATTGGGGAGATATTGCTTAAGGCAGAGTGAGCTGCATAGCTTTAAAAACTTCAGAAACTAGTTTGAGGTCTTAACCTTAACATAAATATATTATCTTCATGATTTCGCTAAGAAATAACGCTTGCGTAGCTCAGAAGTCCCCACCAAATCTTAAAAAAGTCACCAGCTTAAATCTAGATCAAATAGAACTAGTTCTTAAAGCTGGACACTCAAATTTAAAGCTTTGTCAAATCTTAATCAAAAGTTCCTTAGATTCAAGTAAGTACTTGCAGCAAATGAAAGCTGAACGTAAAGCTTCCGGTCAGGCTGCTCTTGCAGGAAGCTTCTCATAGTTGCTTTTGACTTATAATTCGCAAGTAGTTTTAGCAAAACATTAACTGTTAGTGTTGTCAAGAGCTTTCCACACACTTCCCTTTGACTTCTGCTTATTTGTCGTCGCACTTGCCCTTTGATGTCTTTTGTCTTTGCTTTTGAGTTAATGTGCCTACTAAACACTATCGAAATAGCCACTCAGCCACTCACTATTTGGATGCTTGTTTACTACTTGCGCTACTCGCTGCGAACATGTTTTCCTGTAATTTATGAGCTGCAAAACCAACTAGTTTCCATTTCTTCATCATCCATCTGCTTCTTTCCTTCTGTTCTTGATTTTGTTTTAGTTTATGCGCTCAATTTAGTAACTAGTTAGCCTGAAATAGTGGGCAGGCGGACAGGGAATGACCCATGGTCAAAGCTGACCAGCAGGCAGGAAGGCCTAGAGACCATAGAAGAAAGAGCCAAGTTCCTAAACCACTTGCGACATGCCACGGCGATGGTGGAGGGCAGATGAAGCTGAAGAAAACCAACAAGAAACTAATAAAAAGCCAAAGCAAAAACCACAAGAGCTCATAGCTCAAATGCGCTGACAGCAGGCACGAGTTATGCGTACGTACATATCTCAGGCAAGGCACATGGCGGGGGGAGATGGGCATGGGCATGGGCATGAGAGTAGGGGTAAAAAATATGTTGAGCTTTTCCAACTAAATGCTATAAAAATTCTTGACTTAATAGGAAAACAAGACAAGAACATGAAGCGAGCCAACGGTGCGTCGAGAGAGTGGCTGTCGGGTGCGGGGGCCAGTTGAACAGAACTTGTGGAGAGCACTAAAGAAAACTAACAAGTTACAAAAGCCAAAGAGAGCTGTGCTGAGATGGAAGAGACGGGTAGGGAGCTGAAGCACAGACCAGCAAAATGGCAAAGCCAGCTGGCTAACAAATACACACACATACACACGCACACACACACACTCGCACACATTTCGCAAGAACAAGAAGAACTTGAAAGCCAAGAAAAACATTTAGTAGATGATGAAAATCATGGCAACATCAACTGAAAGCAGTAGCAGTAGCAGTAGCAAAACGAGAGACACACAACGTTGCGTTGCGATGCGTTGACGACCGATTTGGCCATGATAAGGAAACCCAGCCAAAAACCCAACTAAGGAACTGGCCTCAAACCAGGCACAGGCAGCCAGCAGCCAGCCAACTGTCAGCCTCAAGACAAACCAGGTCAATAACATTTTAGAGGCAAACGCAGCTGCCAAGCAAACGAATTAAAGCATTAATTGTGTGTAGTTGTTGTATTCTCTGTGTGTTTGTTGGTGTTTCTTAGATGTTCTTCGAGTGGTTTTTATACCCTGTGCCTCATAAAAAGTACTCAAAGGGGTTGTGGGCGAGAGCAGGCATCTGCTGTCTTAGATCGAGTAAAAATATTTATATATATGCTTTATGCAGGACCATTAAAGACAGTCGAGGCACATGTTTCAATATAATTTTAAAATTGGTTTCATCACCAAATTAAAACCGATAAATATCGATTGCTTTCCATATTTGTTGAGGATAGCTCTTGAAATGGGTGTGCTTTGAGAATAATTAAAATTTGTATAAATATCAGCATAATTTATGATGACGTTTTCCGTTTGTGACCGAAAATCGATTAATATCGATAATCAGTCCGATTAGTTGAACGCAAATCACGTGGTGTAAGCAGATTATAAGGTTAAGCACAATAAATTGGTTATATAAATACTCAAACTAAAACCAAGGTCTACCAAGCGATTGCTTACCAAGCGATTGCTAAAATCTTTTTCAAAAAACGATAAATATCGATGTCCGAATTCTGTTTATAAATAGTTTTATTAAAGTTTAGTGTCAAATAGGCTGAAGGGGACTAAACACCTAAGACAGTTTTGTGCAGTGTTTTGAGATCTTCTTTTAATAATCGATAAATATCGATTTTTAACAATTCCGAGATAAGACCTTGTTAGGTATAGGATAACTCCAAGTCGACATAAACTCTCTTAACCTTGTTTAAGGTTTATGTTGGGTGGTTAATGCGCTTATATTGGATTCTGTGGTTCTATAATTTATTGTATTTCCGTGTTAAGTTTCCGGCTCAATTCAGTACTTTTTAATTTCGCGTTCATTAGTTACAAGAGGAGCTGCCTCCAGTCGGTCTGAGAAGAACTCTGCTCTCATTTGCCTTATCATTTATCTTTGTTGGCCAAGTGGCTCTGGGTTAAGTTGTTTGCTTCTCTCCGGCTGTGTCTGGGCACTTGGCCATATCAATTCGCTTTCAACTTGGCTTTGACTTTGGCATTTGTGGCCTGTGGCTGCGCGTGCCACGCCCAATTTCAAACAACTATCCCAACATTTTTGGCCGCACATTAAAATTGGACTTGGCACGCAGCTGTAAGCCAAGTTAAGCGCGCGCGCATAACGTTTTAGCCAAAAAGCATTTATTTTTTGCGCGTTGCTCTAATTAAAATTAAAATTAAAATTAATATTAGCGCTAATTTTTAGTGCACTTTTCATTGTTTTACTTGGTTGTGTGCCCTTTTTTTCTTTTGGGTCTCAGTCAACCTGCTGTATTAAATTAATTGCCCGAAATCAACTTAGGCTGAGATGCAAAGCTGGCTGGTGTTAGCGCATGGCTTAAACCGTTGCCCTTTTGGCCCTTTTATGCCACGTGCTGCGCGTGGCTATAACGAAATTAGACACGCCCCCTCTGCCAAAAATAAAAAAGAGGAGCTACTGGCTAATAACTAATTGTTGCTTAGCAGCAGCTGCAGAGGCGTTCGCTGTGCTGTGTTCTGTCTGTCTGTAAATTGCGTTAGTATTAAGTGGCCAGAACTGAGTAGAAAATTGAGTTAGTAGGGCCCAAGCGAAAATTGAAAATTTCATTTTCATTCGCCATTGAACGTGGGGATTAGCCATAAACTGTTTTATAATGCTGAGCGGCAGCAGCAGCAGCATCGACTAAAAATTGTTAATTTTATTTTATTTTTCACTTTATCCACTGGCTATTGAACGTTAGCGCCATCTATGGCACATTAGCGACAATGGCCATAAACATTTATTGAAGCAGACTTTTATGCGCGGGCTTTAAAGCGCAACCTATGAACGGGTGGGGGCTGGTCTCGGCCTACAATTTGGCAATTGATTGGAAAATATTTGTAACACGATTTGCTGAGGGCGTGTGTGTGTGTGTGTGCGAGGGGGAAAAGTCCTGAATGTAAAACTAATTCAATTATTTGCTCGCATAATTTAAGGTTCGGCCAAAAGCATGAAATTTATATGCAAAACACGCATAAAATTGTTTTCCCTCCCGTTCGCTATTTTCTATTTGCGCTTTTTCTTTCTTAGCATTGGTTTGCAGGTTCATTATTTATGAACACGAAAAGTGGCTACACAGAATAATTGAAGGCAGCCGCTGCCCATTTTAAAGTAATCAACAGTTGACGGTTTCTGAACTCGGGTCGCCAGGCAGGAACACCAACCGGGCTTCGGCTCTGGCTCCGGCTCGGGTCCGGGCTCTACTTTGTTTCTTTTTTTTTTAGGTCATTTGTTGGGTAATGTTTGCACAACATGAGCTTTGTGAAATGCGCGGAATGCAATTGAGCCTGAAAACTTGGGCTTGCGGCCCAAATGTGTAAAACATGGTTCACAAAGTGACAATTAAGCCAATTTGAAGCCATTTACCACAGGCCACCAATTCCCAACAACAACAACAACAATTTCTTAATGGTTCGTCTGTGGGTTTGTCCGGTTCGGTGCTAGGGTTCTCCGATTGCGGGGCGTTCAACGGGTTCGACGTTCTCGAGAGGCCACGGCAAAGGTAGACAATCAAATGTAATTACACGCACATAAACACGCAAAGAGCCAAGTTTGGGGGAGGGGTTAAAAATGAAGAACATCTGTAGCTAACTCGAAAAGGTAGATGAAAAGGTAGCCAAGAATCACGCAATTTACTATAATTTTTGCAGTGGTAGGTTAAACGGTTAGTAATGGGACAGTGAGGGGCATTTGCTCCACTTTCTTGAGTTTGTGGCTGTCAATGCGACGACGACGACGACGACGACTTGGTGACTTTATGGACAGTCATTAGGCAGACGGCAGTCAACACTTAGCCGGCTCAGTTAATTACAAAGAGCAGAGAGCTAAGTGAGGGTTAAACTCACAACTTTCAAGGGAGGTGGAGTGTCTGTGCCGGGTCTTTTAGAGTATAAACCACATAATTTTGCAGCATTTGCGGTGCATTAAGAGCCGCTAATGCAAGGGACGATGACTTGCAGTCGAGCAAATGGCATGACAGTCAAGTGCAGGGCACAGATTAGATATACGGTTTATCTGGTGTGCAGGGAGAGGGCATGAAATGAAAGCAATTTACGATTAATAGTGTTGCAAAATGCATAAAGCGTTAGTTGGTTTATATTAAAGCACGTTCAGTGCTAAGAAAAGGGGTGAGGGAACATAGTAAGCAATTTACAATTAAAAGTGTTGCATTATAAAACAGTGTTGCATGAAACGTTATTGTTATTTTAGAGCCAATTCAGTGTTGCCAACAAAATTATAGCTTAAAAAAATTAAAAAGTGTTACGAAAGATCTTCATAATGAGCTATAAGTTCCAGTTACAGCAGAAAAGTAGTGTCGCATAATTTGTTAAGTGCGTCAATTGAGGCATATGTCCGAAAAAGCCAACAATTACTCTAAACTGTAATACAACACGTACTTCTAGTGTTGCGCAACGCGTTAATTCAATTTAAGCTCTTCTTTCGGCAATTAATGTCAGAGTTCAGATTCTCGAATTGCTAATGATTCTAAGCCGTGCGGCATTAGCCAAGTTGAGTGCTCCGACACTTGATTAGCTTAATTAATAATTGACAAATTCTTGTGTCTAATCAGACCGAAGACACCCTAATCCCTACAGCCTGCCCCGCTGCCCCCGCTGAAGCTAATTCAATTACAAGTTTGGATGCCGCTGATTAAGCTCGCCCCCTCTGAGTAAAATGCTTTGTGTTTATTAATTTTCATCATTTGGAGCGCCGTCTCCGGCGTAGCTGTGATTTATGCCAGCCAAAATAAGAAAATCTACCCCCACCACACCACAGAAAAACCAAAATAAATATCCTTGCTAATTTCACGTCCTGTTTTTCGTACCGTTTTTGCAGACTATGCCCGCGTCGAGGTTGGACCAGAGAATCCGCTGCGCGTGGAACGTGACCGCACTGCCAAATTGGAGTGTAATGTGGACGCCAAGCCGAAGGTGCCGAATGTCCGCTGGACACGCAACGGCAGCTTCATTAGCTCCTCGCTGGTGCACACCATTCACAGGGTGAGCGTGCAGGATGCGGGCAAGTATACGTGCAGCGCCGATAATGGTCTGGGCAAGGCCGGCGAGCAGGAGCTCATACTCGATATACTCTATCCGCCCACCGTTGTCATTGAGTCAAAGACGCGCGAGGCCGAAGAGGGCGAAACCGTTAACATACGCTGCAATGTGACCGCCAATCCGGCGCCCGTCACCATCGAATGGTTAAAGGAGAATGCTCCAGAATTTCGCTATAATGGCGATGTCTTGACCCTCAACTCTGTGCGCGCCGAGCACGCGGGCAATTACATTTGCCGCGCCGTCAACATTATGCAGAGTCAGGGCCAGGAGCGCAGCGAACGCGTTGGCAACTCGACCGTGGCACTCCTCGTGCGTCATCGTCCCGGCCAGGCATACATAACGCCCAACAAGCCTGTGGTGCATGTCGGCAATGGCGTTACCCTAACCTGCTCGGCCAATCCGCCCGGCTGGCCGGTGCCACAGTATCGCTGGTTCCGCGACATGGATGGCGAATTCTCTTCCCGGCAAAAGATTCTGGCACAGGGTCCGCAGTACTCCATACCGAAGGCGCATCTCGGCAATGAGGGCAAGTACCATTGTCATGCGGTCAACGAACTGGGCATTGGCAAAATGGCCACCATTGTGCTGGAGATCCATCAGCCGCCGCAATTCCTGGCCAAGCTGCAGCAGCACATGACCCGTCGCGTCGCGGACAATGACTATGCGGTTACGTGCAGTGCCAAGGGCAAGCCGGCACCTAGTATTAAATGGCTCAAGGATGGCGTCGAAATACTGCCCGAACTGAATCTATACGAGGTCAAAACGAATCCCGATCAGGGTCCCAATGGCATGGTCACCGTCCAGAGCATGCTCAAGTTCCGCGGCACGGCGCGTCCCGGCGGCAATCAGCTGGTGCCCGGAGATCGTGGCCTCTACACGTGTCTCTACCAGAACGAGGTGAACTCCGCCAATTCCTCCATGCAGCTACGCATCGAACACGAGCCCATTGTGCTCCATCAGTACAACAAGGTGGCCTTTGATATACGCGAAACTGCCGAGGTGGTCTGCAAGGTTCAAGCCTATCCCAAGCCCGAGTTCCAGTGGCAATTCGGCAACAATCCCTCACCCCTGACGATGTCTTCCGATGGTCACTACGAGATTAGCACCACAACGGATAACAATGATATCTACACCTCGGTGTTGCGCATCAATTCGCTGACCCACTCGGATTACGGCGAGTACACGTGCCGTGTGGTCAACTCTCTGAACACCATACGCGCGCCCATCAGGCTGCAGCAGAAGGGTCCGCCGGAGAAGCCCACGAACTTGCGTGCCGTGGATGTGGGCCACAATTATGTGACACTCAGCTGGGATCCGGGCTTTGATGGTGGCTTGAGCAAGACCAAGTTCTTTGTCAGCTATCGACGCGTGGCCATGCCCCGAGAGGAGCAATTGATACCGGACTGTGCAACGCTTGCGAATGCCAATTCCGATTGGGTGGAGGTCGACTGCCAGCGGGATATACCCTGCAAGGTCACCTCGCTTGATCAGCACCAGAGCTATGCGTTCAAGGTGAAGGCGCTGAACCCCAAGAACGGCTCACCCTACTCCAATGAGATCACGACGACCACTAAAGTGAGCCGCATACCGCCACCCCTGCAGGTCACCTACGAGCCGAGCACACGCACCCTGGGCATCGATGTGGGCGCCACTTGCCTCAATCTTGTCGCTGTTGTCGAGACCATGCTGCACGGCGACACACCCATGGCCGCCTGGGATCTGGTGGATATTGTCGACAACCTTCAGTTATCTGGCAATGGACCCACGCACAAGGAGAAGGTCATCGATCGCCTAATTGGGCCACGTCGCAGCGGCGGCGGACGGGCTCTGGGTCACACCATCAACGACGATGACGAGGAACATGATGCGGGACTGAATAACTTGGCGCTGGAGCAGGACGACAACAGTCCCGTGGTGCGGGTGAAACTCTGCCTGCGCAATAATCACGAGCATTGCGGCGACTACACGGATGCCGAGAGTAAGTAGAAGAGATTGTGTTTGAACTTAACTGAGATTGGATAGATTAGAAAAGGGGCTAAATAGATAAGCAGTGAATGATTATGTGAATAGTAGTTTTCTAGAAAGCTAGAAAAACGAGTGCAATATGAATATGAATGTGAAGTTGAATCATTTGGACTACAGAGTCAGTTTCCAACACTCGCTGATAGACGCTTGCAATTCGCAACAAGTTACAGCTTTTATGGGGAATAATCGTAGAATCGATGGCAAGGTCTGCTGATGATAGAACCGGTAGATCAACGTTAATGAACATCATTTGCAATTATTTGTTGTACGTAAATTATGCATTGTATGTCTGCTTCTCAAATCCATTGATTCCAAATTCAAAGGCGCAAATAACACAATTGAGTCAATTATACAACACTGGCATTTGAGCAGCTGCCAACATTTCAGCTGCGACCCAATTGACGCGAATAAAGGGCCGTGGAAGATGCGATTAGCTAATGTGTCATTGGTCAAAAGTCCTGTAGAAGCATTCACAATTATTCACTGTTCAGTTCAGTTGGCGGGCGTTGTACACGATCAGGAATAATGGAATTCACGAGTTGAACTCGCTGTGGAACGCACCGATTTCCATTATATGCAAAGCCATTACGAGCAATTGCGCCACTTGAATAGCTTGGACAATCAATCACTCATCCATCGTCAGGCAACCTGGCTGGCAACCATCCATCCATCCATCCAGCCAGCCAGGCATCCGTCCAAGCATTCAGCCAACCATCCATTCACTTGAGTGGCGTTGCATTTTTCATGGCTTCATTTCATTCATCTCAACTGACGCTCCGCCCTCTCTTTCTCGCTCCTCATTGCAGTTGGACGTCCGTATATCGCGGAGGCTAGCGCCCTGGCCACGCCCACACTGATTGCGATAATCGTGTCGTGCATTGTATTCACACTGTTCGCCGGCCTGCTGCTCATGTTCTGCCGCTGCAAGCGCAATCAGTCGAAGAAGAGCGCCGCCGCCAAGGACTACGAAATGGACTCGGTGCGGCCCTCGATTGTGGCTGCCCAACAAAATCAGGCACCGCCACCCTACTACCCGGCCAGCGGTCTGGACAACAAGGCCCTCGAGCACTCGATGGATCTGGCCCTCAACATGGAGGACCAAAAGACAGCTCTCTATGCGACCCAAAATGGCTACAGCTATCATCCGGGCAGCGGAGTCGTCGGCGTCAATGTGGGTGGCAGTGTTGTTGGTGTCGGCGGCGGTGTTGGCAGCATCGGTGGCGGCGGCGTTGTTGGTGTGACCGGCATACCCGGTTTGACAGGACACACGTTGCCAGGAAATGAATGTAAGTACACACACACATACACATATACATCTATACATGCATACGTAGAAAGTAAGCTGAAATTGGGCAACAGTTTTGAGGTGGCGAGCAACATATTGATGGATAGCCCAAAGTGAATTTCCCTAACAAAGAGCCTCGCTCTTTTCTTATGGGAATGGAGATTTGTACGATATATAATAACTAATTTTTTTAATATAAATATTTTCAATATTTCATAATTGGGGTAAATATAATATATTTCTATATTCCTAAAGAAATTTGAACTTATTCGGGATATTATTAATTTTTTTATGACATTTTTCTAACGTTTAATTGAAAATATTATAAACCTTAACATTGACCTATATATAACTGACCTATATCAAACTGATTCAAATATTTAACTTGAAAGTTGTTTAAAAATGGGAACTTAAAATAAAATAGGAATATTTTAATAAAACAACATAACAATTCTTATTTCTGAATGTTGACTGCCCGAATGTCTGCAATATATTGAAGCTCACTTAAAAAGTCAGAGAGAACCGAATACGTACAGAATATAATATAATGGAATATAATACGATCTATTTTAACATAAAAATTTCTTCGAAATTGAATATAAATATGCTTAAAATATAAAATGCCCTAAATTAAACCAGAAAATGATGAGAGAATATTAGGAAAACATTTGTAAAGATTTCAAATGCAAATAGTTATGCATAAATTTACTTTGATCAAATCTTAAATGAGCATATCTTCATATTCAGCAAAGCTAGAGAATATAATAATAGTAATTATTTATTTATTAATTGAGATGCAACTAATTGCAGCTGAAATGCCAGTGAATATTCTAAGCAAAAGCATCACTGATCTGTTTTGAATTAAATCTGTGAATTTTATAAATTTTATATCGATATCTTAATATCAAGTTCTTCAGCAAACTCTGAACATTTATACAAAGTGCCAAACTGATGACAAATTCCTGATACCCTTTCAACACTCGCACTCACACACACACACACTCAGTCAAAAGTGTGGAGAGGGTGTAGCTAAACCTAGACCACTGCCAAAGTGCGAAATACTTCCGTCGGACCATGTCCGTCACTCTCCCCGTTCAACCCCGCCCCCTCTCTCTCTCTTCATCTCTTTCTCACTCCCTGAAAGCTGGTGGCAAAATGTTTTGGGTGATTTTTCATTGTCCACCGCAAAACACATCACAAAACAAAATGAAATCCGTGCTGACGCGCCACGGCCATGGGTCAAGTAGAGGTGCGGGATGTGGTGCGCAGGTGGTGGGTGCGGGGAGAGTGGTGCACACAAATTATGTAGCCCATGAAATGTGAAAGTGCAAAATGGAGTTGAGTGCAAATCGATGGCCATGCGCATTCATCACGCGCCTCTGCGGGCACACACACACACACACACCAAGGCTAGGGAGGTGTGCAAGCCGCAAAAACACAAACACACACACACACCTGCGGCACAAACACATACCCACACACACACACAACGACAAAACACTTCAACTTCCGTTGTAAATTTGTTGAAACAGCAATTTTTTCCCTAAACGTTTTACGTCCTCGCCGAAGCATTTTGTAATATACTTGCCATTTATTGTTGTTGTTGTTGCTGTTGTTGCTGCTGCTTGACGCTCACGTCCATTCATCCTGGCTGCGCGTCCTTGTCGTCGTTTCAAGTGACGCCTCTTCTCTCTTCCAACCGCTACCCACCCTCACCACAACAAATGAAAATTGCGCACAAAATGAATGCGTAAACTGGACCCGCCATCGCTGCCCCACAGCCCTGTCCGTTCGGTCCCTCTGCGGTTGCCCGCAATACGCAATACACAATTCATTATTAATTGTTGTTGTGGTTTACTTTTATTTTTAACTTACCCAATCCCACGCATCCCTTGTGTGTGTGTTTGTGTTATTTTTTTTGGAGAGGAGGGTCCCCATAAGAGGTATTAACCTTTAACTTGGTGCGCACAAATTGGACAGGTTCTCTGCTTTTTATAGCCCTGCAGTCGGGGTATTCTAATTATGCTGAAAGGTGTGTAACGCACTGAAGAAAGCCTTTAAGATTTGTGCACTGCGATCAGGAATATCAAACTAAGACCCTACATAAGCATATATTCAATTCCTTCTTGCTCTGCAAAGCTACGATTGTAGATCATAACCTTTTCTTGTTCATTTAAGCATTATTAAAATCTGAAACGGATCTTATATTGTTTTGAGAAAAAATCGCATATAAAGGAAGCCTTTATATTCGTCGGTTTCGATTTCTTTGAACAGATCTATAAAATATTAGGATTTATTTAAAGATCGATCTATGATAACCATTGGAGATCGTTATTATAGTTGCCGGCAAAGAATTCTAGTTAATTTAAATAATCTATCTATCTTCCCAAACTTAAAAATATATATATATATATCAAAATCTGTTTGAAACTTAATTATTTGACATTTAAGCTTAACAGTCTTTTGGGATTATATGGTGCAAAATTTAAACAAAAGCAATTTTTGTTTTAAAACGACAAGCACTAGAAATTGGACTACTTCACGAGGTTGTAGCTTTCCGATGTCTCCATCCCGCTTTCTATCTTTCCCTTTCTTTGCTTGATCCAGACATATGTTATATATATAAGTTCTTCAACTATTTCAATTTCTTTTTCCAAATTTGTTCCTAAAATATTCAGTCTATTTATGCATGGAAGGATATTCGTTCTTCGTCTAAGTACAACTTTCCAATTGTTTTTTGTACAATTTTTTTTGCCGGGTGTATTTGGTAATGACGTGCAAATTAAAAATTCCTTTTTGTGTGTGTGTTTGTTTGGGTGTATGTGTCTGTTGTTGTTGTTGTGTGCTTTGCTAAATGGCAATAGAATTTTAAGCTGCTGGACAAAAATTTAATTGCAATATTTTCCTGTTTGCCGAACGACGTCCAAGTTCGCGTAGCAACTGATAGTTGGCAATTGCTAAACAGCTCGCCGCAGGGGAGGGGGGAGGGTGGGGGCTGCAAATGGCAGCCATTGTGTGGGCTCATTCAAAAGTTGCCGAGTTTCCAGTGCTCGCCGAATGCCAATTAAAATTTTCAAGTGCCCGCCCTGAAAGTAGGTGTGTTTTTTTTTGTTTGCCTGCCGGCAAACATTGGCACTTAATTGCATTTAAAAAGAAATGCGCGAGCGGCTAATTTGGCTAGTGAAAGTGGCAGGCAGCAAAAGTGGCATGAATAATAAAAAGCGCAGACAGCCAACAGCTGTGCAACACACACACACACACACACACACACCACGCACACACACAATCAGATTTCCAGGTGCTGCAGCTTGCAGTTCATTGTAAGCGCTAATTGCTGCATAAGAAGCTGCCTTTGGCGCTCTCATTTTCCACAAGCCCCTCCCCCTCCGCTGCCCCCCTGGCAAATGCCATTTGAATGTGTTTTGTTCTAGTCGTTGTTGTTGATGTTGTTGTGTGTTCCTGTTGTTGTTCTTGTCGCTGTCGCTTGTGCACTTTGGACTCGTTAAGAGCTCAACCGAAATTGCCGCAATCGTTGCATAGGCCAAAAACCTAATGAACTTTGCATGTTAAGCGGCAGCGACGATGACGACGACAATAAAAACAATGGCGTTGCCACCTGGGGTGAAAACCAAGCACTGAGCGGGCTTCGTTTCCAATTGCAAATTGCACTAGGCTAATGGCAAATTGTTCGCCTGATAGCATCGTACTTGTACTTAATACGTTTATGAATATCTTATAATAAAGATATACATATATTCCCATTATGCTTTTGATATTATAATTATATTATATTAGGCAACTGAAGAACGAGAACTTATACTCAAATAACTAGCGAGTGTACCTATTGCTTAGGCTAAGGCAATAATAATAGCAGAATTATATAAAATAATAATTATGCCCTGTTTTTATGTGTGTTTTATCAGTTTTGCCTAATGATAGCAACTAGTGTTGTAAAATTTAAATATTGCATAAACATTATGTAAATTTAGCAATATATATATATTTTTTAATTTCTGTTTTACACATTCTGTATAAACTACTAAAATAGCGCACATTTATCCAGTGCTCAAATATGTGTGCTGCATTTTGCAACACTGCTTGAACAATAGTTCTTTATTCAAGTTTTGAGCGCTATAATATAATTACTAAAAGGCCTATTAACGTTTCTATCAATTCTAATTTTACCTTATGGTTTCTGCTTAGCTTCTGATGCAAATTTTTAAAAATTAAATATTCTAGTTATTCTCCATATAAGTTCATGTTGTTCTTTCTTTAGGCAACTTTTAGTATACTAGACCTTTTCTCTTATTATTCCTGCCTTGTTTTGCTTTACCCAAACCGCCTTTTAGTTTATTAATTTCGGTTAAGGCTTTCATATTGTGTATTGCATATTGTCAGGTCTTTCGATGAACTGCAATCTGTGCCATGTCAGCAGCTGTGTTTAGATTTTAAAGCCAATTAGTTTTACAGCGCTGCATACAAAGCATACAAAACAAAAAAAAACAGAGGCAGAAGCTGAAGCACAACCAAAGCCGGCAAATGCAACTCATAGATTTTGTCATTGAATTGTGCGGTCAGCTGGCCAAGGCTGCCTTCAAACAACAACAACAACATTAACAATTGCAATAACAACAACAACAATTACAAGACAAACATGTTGGACACGCGCCTAAAACGCTGCCGCGCAAAATGTTGTTCAAATCGGGGGTTGTGGTTGCATTTTTGGGGGCGTGGCGGCAATGGTTGTGCTCGTGGTGGCGTTTGCAAAACTATTTTGCGGCTGTTTGCTTTGCGGGCCTTAGCTGCATTCTAAACCAGACCAGAACACACACACATACACAGAAACATATACACAGAAACAAACGCCCGGGCAAGCCAGACAACATTTGTAGCATCGAGTTCATGGCTTTATTTATTTAGCGCATAAATTTCAGCGCGCCAAAGATTTTTTGCTCCTGCCATCTTTTTTTTGTTGTCCTCTTTTTTGGCTTTTTTAGCTTTTAGCTTCTGGATTTTTATTTTTTTTTATTTTTGGTTTGCGTGTTGTTTGTTTGGCTGCCTTTTATTTGGAGCTGGGGGCTGGCGGCAACAGCAGCCGGACAACGACAACGACATTTGTTTGCATTTATTTGGTTTTTGGAGTACATGTCCTCTAGACATACTCGTTGTTGTCGTCGTCGTTATCCTGCGCTTGTCTAGCCGTAGGCGTTGCTCAGCCCAGTACCCATGCCCCCCTTGCCTGTCCGCAGCTGACCAGACCCAACAGAGTCAGCAAATTTTGAGTTTAACTCTGGGTACAAACAAATATGAAAAACAAACTTTCACTTGGCTGCTTTACAATTGGCTTAAAGCGATAAATTTTAAGGGCTTCTCAGCTGACATGCACAGTCTTAAGTCTGGCAACACTGTGTTCTCCCTCTCGCTCTCACTTATTTTTGCCCATTTTCAGAATTGAGGCAACTGACTTAAGAGTTTGTTGTTTACCATAGCATTGATTTGCCCATTAAGATGTATTTATTTCTCATATAAAATTTTAAATTTCTTATTCCACATTTTTGGGCTGTTTCACTCAACAAATCTGGCAATGTCAGAAAAGAAACTATTTATGAGCAGATTCCATTTGTTAGGTTAGGTTTCCTTCTTTGAACTTATTCAAAATTGTTGAAAAGGTTTTGTGCAAATGTGTGTAACAGGCAGAAGGAAGCAAATGCGACCCCATTAGGTATGTATACCCTCTCAGCATGAGCTGCAGAGTTGATCTAGCCATGTCCGTTATAAGAACTCGAGAAATTGAAATTTTGAATGTAGCTCTTCTAACTAGGTAAATAGGCGGATGCACAGCTCCGTTTCCATGAAATCGATAAATATCGATATATATAAATGCTGTTTTTTGTGTATATCTCGAAGCTAATAAGATCTGGGTACACCTATTCACAGAATATTTAATAGGCATACTCTGAAAATTGCATTAAGGTCGACAATGGTAAATGTTTATAGGTTTGCGTAAGGCAACAAAATTGATAAGATATGTTGTATAATATACAAATTGCGTGGATTGTATGCAAAACAAAAACATTGATTATTGTTTCGCTGTACTTATCACAGTTTAAAAAACTAAAACTAGTCTGAGGAGCCTTTAAATTGATCATCAAAATCCACTTGAACTCTGCAAACCCGGTAAATACCCACTAAATTTTATTATAAGCACCACATACGAATAGACGCTATTTAGTAGATGCTGTAAGTACGCGTTAGATTATGAATGAACATATGTCAACAATCTGTCACATTTGGTTGACAGTATGTGAAATGTTCGCATTGATAAGCAGCACAAACATTTTCAGATGCTCGTGTGCTGCTTATCAATTTATAGAATTCTGCGTCGTCTGCGTCAGACATTCGCTTAACTTAATCTCAATTCAAGCACTTAGTCTTGTTCGGTTACTCGGCATCGTAATTTGAATCTGTCTGCCAAATAATGAATAAATTCTTGACGCTGGTTGGCATCCTGCTGCTGGCTTGCTGGCAGGCCGGAAGTGTCCTGGCGGATAGCGACAGCAGCAGTGACAGCGATAGCAGTGATGATAGTGGACACAGTCACGGCCGAAAGCATAAACATAAATACAATAATCCAGCGTATCCCAGCTATCCGCCATACGCCTATCCACCGTATCCCTACACTCCCTACACATACAACCAGCAGCAGCCGCCATATAATCCGTATGCGCAGCCGCCGCCGGCTCCTATGAATCCCCAGTACCCGAGTCCATATCCAGGCAATCAGCAACCCTATAACCAGTTTGCACCACCAGCACCTCAATATGGACCACCTGGCCATCCCCCGGCACCACAATCGCCCTATCCTCCCGCACCACAAGCTGTGTATCCCCCCGCACCACAAGCTGCCTATCCGCCTGCACCGCAACAGCCACCACCAGCTTCTAGCGTTATCAACCATTCGCTCAAAGTTAACAAAGAATATCAGGAGGATTTTAGCAAAAATGTCGAAAATAATCGAATTTAAAATGTGAAATGCTATAAATAACAAAAATATCATTTCTAAATGTACTCTTTTGTGGATTTGGCAGCAAATTACTCGTGGGTCTAAAAAATTAAACAAAATAAAATAAATGTATATAGAATAGACAAACATACATATGTATGTATATATTCATATTCGGTTTATTGTGTCGACTGTGATCTGTTATCTCGCGTACAAATATGTGCATACACTATATATATATTGTTCATAGTACACAGAATTTAATGTACAACGATGTCAAACGAACTTGATTCTTCAAAATATTAGAAATATAAATTAAAAGAATAATGTTGCCAGCTTAAGACTTCAAATTGATCAAGAGCCATGAACAAAGAGCCAAGCCTCGTGCAAATCTGATGAGATTTGACCAAGTTATTGAGTTGGGAACTTTTGACCTATGTTTATATGGGATATTTGATTAATTGATTTTGTATATATGTATGTATGTATGTATGCATGTGTATATATATGCATGCATGCATGAATGAATAAATGAATGTATGAATATGTGTATGTATGTATGTATGTGTGCGCGTGTGTCTATATATGTATGTATGTGCGTATATATAGATGTATGTATGCATGTAAATTGTCTTCTATACCAGTAGCAGATCAATTGGTCTTTGTCGTGCAAATTTAAATAAGAAAACGTATTTATTAAAGCTGCCCTTCTCCTCGATTCTCAAAAATGTAAGTAGGGCTTGTGGGTTTCACCTATGAATTAGGTGCAGGTGGCTTGAACGCTGGATGCTGAGGAGCCGGAGGAGCACCAATGGGGCGTTATGTATGTATGTGTGTGTGTGTGTGTATGTGTGTGTGTGTATATATATGTATGCATGCATGTATATATATATTTTCACATGAATTTTGACCAAGAAAAATGTTGCAGGGCATGCTCGTGGCACGTTTAAAATATATTCTTTCAAAGATCTTTGAAAATGAGTTTTTAACCGATTGGTTGTTCAACTAAAAAGTTGTATACGAACGTTTTTCGCGATATAAACCAAACAAAGCAGGCTTAAAAAACGCCCCAAATATCATAATGATGTGATTGTCTGACAGGCAATTTAAAGCTGGCTAGTTCGAATCTTGCGCTAACAAGTTTTTCTTCTTCTTTTGTAGTCATTTCTTTTCAATGAAAATGTATTTTTCAAATAGAAATCAAACTAGATTTCTTTGAAAGATTAGGGAACTATATAAACAATTTAAGTGAATGGTATTCCCAATACGTTTCTCAAAGAAAAGAAATAGTAAAAAAAAAAGTTGTATGCCTGTTTAGCTGTTGCCGCCCCAAGCGCCTTTCTTTAGCCAAGTTGATTACAAGTGAATTTAATAATCTTTTATTATGAATATCCCGTAAAGTTGGCGATTCTATGAAAAGTTTCGGCACAACTTGACCTGCTTGCGTGAATGAGAAGCGCCAAGCAGAGCATATTATTATTATAATAATAATAATTATTATTATTGTGTGCACTGCTTCGAGCTGCAGGACTTGGGAGCAGGAAAGTTATGAAACTCGCAGCAAAGCGGCAGCCGAGCAACACACACAAAAATGCAGCTTGTCTGAAAACTTTCCTTTTCTGCCAACTTGAGGCTGGCTACAACAGCAAAAAGGCCGCCAGCAGCAGAAATTGCAACATGGTGCAAGCACAGGAACTCAGTCAGGCAGGCAACCAGAGGCAGAGAGAGGAGGCGATGGAGAGATGGAGAGAGGGGTGCGCAGGTGGCAAGTGCTCTAAACTGCACTGCCCGCCCTTCCTGTTCCACTACTTTCAGCATTTAAGCGCATTTGGGGCCAAATGCCGAGCAGCCTGCGTCGCGACGCTAATTAAAAGTGCAACAAGAGGCAGGCAAAGGTCGTCTCCTAGAGTCGAGTTCACGTGGGGGGGCGCTTCAAGTTGTGGAGTGTGGCGCCATTAACGCCGCCTGTGCGCTTGAGGTGCTCAAAAGGAGTGAGGGGCAACTTTGGGCAGCTCAACTCGCTCTTTGGCCAAGAACTGGCACCCAGCCCTCTAGCCTCTACCCTCTGCCTCCTGCCCGTTGCCGTTTAGTTAACCGTTAATGGCATTTGAAACTGTTTTTATTGTGCGGCTGCCTCAGCCTCTCGCTGCTGCTGCTGCACAAAAATGTTGCATAATTATAAGCGCTTCCGGTTGAAAACTTTGTCTAGAGAGTGAATTAGTGGCACGGTCTGCGGCGGGGGGCAATTGCAACTTTGCCACTTGGCCGAGAGTCGTTAACGTGAAAAGAATTTCAGGCAGCCGAACTGCCAGCGAGAGAGACACTTGAGCAGCTTGTGCGAGATTAATAAGCCCTAGCCGCCCACTGACCCACTGCTTGCGGTTGTGGGCGTGGTCGTGTTTTGTAAACTATGCCACCAACAAAACAGTTATTTGCACAAATCAATGTGCAAACTTTTCGCCTAAACTTTAATTGCGCGTCGCCGCAAAAGTAGGCAACACAAATTGCCCTCCCCCCATCTCGTTGCCCACCCCTCGCGCCTACAACCACTTCGCCCCACAACAATGGAAATGCATTAAAATTCCTGTATAGAGTAGATTTTTGGGCAGAATTTGTTATTTTGTATTTGTAATTTGTTGTCCACAAATATTTTTGGGGCCCATTCAAACCGAAAACTTGCGCAATCAAAAGTTGTGCCAAACAGATTTGATGCTTATCAAATTGAAAAGTTTATTATTTACTTTTTTTTGCCTACTCTTCTCTGTGGGCTTCATGCCTTTTAGAACACAAGCAACAAAATATCGCATAAAATTACAATTGGAAATGTATGCAAAGAACGTTAAAGTAGACGAAGCGGGGAGCTCTCGGGAATGGAAAATGAAAATGAAGTTAATATTATTACTGTTTTTAGTTTTATGGCTAATCATAAAAATTATCACGCCCACCATGTCGCATAAAAAGCGGCAGAACGACACGCAATCTGGAAATGGCACACGAAATGCGAAACAGCTGGCAATGGAACGGTCCAACACTCGAACACTCCGTAGACATGTTATGTACATATATATATTTGCATGTCTTTTGGTTTTTGGCTAACAAAACACACAAATTGTCGTTAAATTGTGGCGCACGTCAACGAACATGAGCTCATAAAACGATTTCGCCTGCAATTCGCCAATTTGTGGTCAGGCCTTATTTTTGAGGAGTTACCAAAAAGTTGGCCCCACTTTAAGCTTTTTATTTGTGCACTTAAAACGTCAACGTTAAACGAAAAAACTTAACTACGTTTTAGGTGATAAAATTTTAACTATTTTTGGCGAAATCGTGGCGAAAGAGCTAGTGAGAGTTCTTTGCTATTGAAAGCAAATGTTTTAGGTGGAGGGTTAAATGATTCCATTCTATTCAACATTTGTTATCTTTGGTTTTTTGTACTAAAATATATCCAAGGTGAATTTGAGCTGAAAAGTGAGAAAAAATTGAATTAAAATCAATGCAACGTTTTGATCACAAAAATCTATACTCAATTATAAATTCAGGCAGGTACAAATGTATTTCCCAAAAAAAGGAAAAAAAACACTTGGCGAAATAAGGGCGAAAGGAAATCTGGAACTTCATCAGCTCGAATAAATGGGAAAGAAATTTCTTCATTTCAATTGTAAAACTTGGCGAAATGATGTCATATTTCTGGCGAACACGTTTTTTAGAACAGTGACCAATTATTCGGTTTTCGACTCAAAATTCAAAAAGTTTTCCTTTGCTTTTTTTTTGGAACTCCTTGGCAAGCGTGCGTTTAATATTTATGAGTGATTTATCACGATATAAAAATAATAATAAATGCGAGCAACAAAGGCGCACGCACAGGCAGGCAGGCAGGCAGGCAGCCCGGCAAAGTAACGAGCTGCTGCATGGGATGAAAGAAGCCAAAGACAGGCGCGCGGGCAGGTCCTGTAACAAGGCGCATTGCTGCTTGTCAACGCCTTTGTTCTGGCGCGTAACAAGCACCAGAAGGACACAAGGACCTCCGCCCATTGAGAGCGACTCCTGCTTTGATACTTTTTCGCGTAGCTCGTAAAAAATTTGTCAACAAACTTTCTCAGAACTACAAAAGGCAGCGCACCAGTGGAGAAGTGGTTGAAAGGGGAGGGAGTAAGGGGTGGGGCGGGGCGTGACAGTGCTCCGCATAGATTTGTGAGTTTACGATGACTTTTGACGCAGGTCTTAAGTGGCGTATGCGCAATATGTTCTTGAACAATTAATAACGCCTTGTTGTTTCGCCCAGCTAATAAATTCATTTTATTTATTTTATTTTTACTCTGCTATCATTTTTGTGTGCTAATCAATGAAAAGCTGTAAAAGAAACTTTCCTTTTTTTATCGCGCTGATTGCATTGAACTGTGAATTTTATTTATTAAGCATTTTATTTGGCCAGGCGCCAGAAATCTATCTGTCAGCCATGCGATGCTGTGGCAGATTTATGCGACACTTGTTCGCGTTCAGTTTTTACAGCATTTTACCCCAATTGAATTTTTCGTTTTTTCTTCATCCGTTTTTACAGGGGTCAACATGGGCTACATGGAGAACAATTATTCCAATTCGAATAATGGCGGCAGCGTCAACTCACAGGACTCGCTCTGGCAGGTAAAAATGTCCGCGGCTGCGGTTGGAAATCAACAGACACTCGTCCAGGCGCCACACAATCAGTATGTGGAACAGCAGCCCACCTATGGTTACGATCCGCTTACGCATGGCGGCTATGGGGCTGTCGATGATTATGCACCATATCCACATTTGACGGCCACGCCCAGCCAGGTGGGCGATGAATATCATAATTTGCGCAACAGTCAAAATCCGTCCCGGCAGGACTACTGCTGTGATCCCTATGCATCGGTACAGAAGCCCAAGAAACGTGTCGATCAACATTTAGGTAAGTTATCGATAAAAGCAGCTATCGTTTTTAAGTGTCACAATGTTATCGATACTAAGAAATTGCTCGGAAAGTGCGATAAGTGAGGTTGGATAGCATTTAAAGAGCTGTGAAAGGGTTGAAAACTTGAATTAATTTGATTTTGACTAGCTGTTAATTCAAGTGGAGGAAGAGAGCGAGAGAGAAATATCCTATCGTTTGATGATGATGATGAAAATAATGGAAACAATTAATAGATTGATAGAGTGAGAAAGATAATGAGAGTATATATAATGATCAATGGATACCGATCGAGAGAGAGAGAGAGGCATATATCAAAGGAGAGCAGCAATGAGAAAGCGAAGACTTTAATGAAAGATACACAGGGAGAAGGTTATACATATATATAAAGAAAAATATATATAAATATAGAAAAAGAGCTTTACAATGGCATAGAAACATAGTTGCACAGAGAGAACAAAATTAAATGGAACCTAAATCTTAACCAATATTATTCCCAAATAAACCGTGCGTTGCAGATCATTCCTTCCTTTATTACAACTCCCATTTTATATTAGTCAAGCTATCGAGTAAATAATACTGAATATGTTTTGTAAGGAATGAAAGTTCTCACGAGTAAACAGTAAAGACTCCCTATAATATGCACAAGCTGTCTGATGAGCTAAGCTCAAATGGGAAAGAAAAAAAGGTGGAAGAGCAAACAAATCTGACAACTTTCATCGCTTCCAGTTCTACTTATGACACATTAAGCACAGGGGTCGAGCTATCTACCAACTGCTTTCCAAAGTTCCAAACTTAAAAGTTGGAGTAGGGCAACATGCAAAAGGGGTGTGGCTGCAGCGGGGATGCGAGCAACTGGCTAAGGGTCGCCTCTCGGCTTGCCTGGCCTGTCAAACTTACCCACTATGTTTTGTGTGTTGTGTTATGTTGTTTGAGTGTGTGTGTTTCGTGTGTTGTGTGTGGGTGTGTTTGCACTCGGACTTTCAGTTATGACAAGTTAAGCACTTGGATATCGCCGACGTCGACCCGGCTCGCCTGCTCGGGCTCATGCTAATTATGTATGTGCGTCTCTCTGTGTGTGTGAGTGCGCCTGCCCGCCACGCCCCCAACGCAGACCGCCATCCAAAAGCATGACACAGCAATAGGCTTTAGCGATAGGTTCCTTTAGGTTCTTTGGCTCTTTTCTGTCTGCTGCACATCTGACGGTCTCGGCTTAAAGTCTTTGCCAACTTTTGCTTAAAGTTCAGCGAGGCAAAAGCAACAACAATTTTTGAAGCTCTCTGTTGCTGTCAGTGTGTGTGTGTGCTTGTGTGTGTGCGTATTATATTGTGTATGTTTCTTATTGTTGTACTGCCAATAAGACCGCAAGTGTTTTAAAATATTAAATAATAAAAAACGAAGCGAGAAATCGAAATGTTCTGGCTTAAACAAGCAAAACAAAAAGAAGTAAATGCTGCGCAACTAAGAGATATCCTTTAAAGGAAAGATTTTATGGCTAGCCAATATATTAAAAATTAATATATATATATATATGTAAATAGACATATATATAAAATGTACATATGTATATATTAATATTTTTTATACAAAGGTAACTTTTTATACCACAAATCCCTCAATTTTGGAAATTTCTTCAAAAACATTTGAACATTACGTAGGTTTCCCTGTCTGTCGGAAAGTATGTGAACTGATTTTTAAAGATCTTCGTAATAAATCTTTTCAGATGCAGGCACAGTTAGATTTACCATACTGTATGCAACATTCATTGCAAAAAATCGGTATACCCTTCAGTTGAGCGCTTGATGAGTACAGGGTATCAAATACAAGGGCCAAAACGAACGCTGACTGCAATCGGACGGCCGCGGGGCGTATGCGTGATGATATTGCTTCTGCCAATGTTTTTGTTGTTGTTGCAACTATGCGGCTTGTTGGTGTTTGTGTGTGTATGTGTGTGCGTGTGTGTGTGGGTGTGTGAACCGAGTGTGTGCGGTATTTGTGTTATCTTTACGGTTTATGAGCGAGCACACCCGAAAAGTATATATAAAAAAATTGGCTTTTTTTCGTTATGTTGCGGGTTTTTATTGCCCGGCGTCCCTGCGGCAGGACGAAACAGGACTCAAAACAGGATGTGGCAAGTGTTGTTGTTGTTGTTGTTGTTACAGCTTTGGCGTCCACGCTTGAAATTTTGTTATTTGTAATGTAATGTGCGTGTGCCTGTGTGCGTTCGTGCGTGTGTATAAAATGCAAAAACGTATCGCAAATACAACAACTTTGCGGCTGATGTTGCATAACAAAACACTGACCACGCCCCAACCCATTGCCAGGTCAGCCGCCCACTCGGCGGTTAAACGCAAAAATTTTTGTGCGCTAAACTAAGAATTGGGCAACAACAAGAACAACAACTCGCAAATGTCACACTGCCATATAAGCGTCCCAGTTGTCCGCACACATACTTACACACACACACGCACACACTCTTACACGCACACAGCCACATGCATGTCAATAAAATGCAGCCAGAAACAACAAGAACAACAGCAGGAAACGCCCCACGAGTGCCGTCAAAAGCAAAGCAACTAAAAGCTGTGTCTGTAGGTGGGAGGGGCAAGGGAGATTGTTAGCTGGATGGTATAGCGGAGGGGGGGGTGGGTGAGTTGTTGCACGGGGGGGGGGGGTTGGGTTGTTGTGTGTAGGGACATTGACAGTGCTACAATATGCAAATACATCTTCATTACATTGATGTGTCAGCTTATGCACAACTGTTTGTGACTTTGTGTATGTGTGTGTGTATGCGTGTATGTGTGTGAGTGTGTGGCAACATGTTTAAAAGCTTTTACACTTGCCAACTGAAGCTGCAAAGCTGCAGCTGAGCTGAACTGACTTTTGTGGCACTGCAACAGCAGCTGCTGCTGCCGCATCAAGCGTTAGGTAGTGGAGGGGGAGGGAGAGGGGGAGGCCATGGCGAGGGGCAGTGGGTGGTGTGCTGCCCAGCAGGCGGAAGTAAGTCTCTGCGGCAGCAAAAGGCGGCAAATGCGACGTAAGCAAAAAATGTTTTCGGTTTTCTTGTATTATTTTTGTAGAGCAGGAGCCGTCGGTAGGTGCAGGGGTGGGTGGGGAGGTGGTAAAAGGGTAGCGGGTAGAGCTGATTGATTATGCAGACTTTTGTGTCAGTTGCTGGCGCATTTTCGCACATGAAGCTTAATTCATCATTAAATCAGCGAAGCACAAGAGAGGGAGAAAACGAAAAAAGGGGATTAAAAAAAAGATAAAAAACAGATGGAAAGATGATTCCCCAAGGATGATAATATTATTTTTTTTTTGGTATTGTGTGCTTAAAAAACTTAAAGCCAAAAGCTGTGAGAGAAATATTTAAAAAAAAAATATTAATATTATTACAAATAAAAAATATATATGTCAGTCGAAGTTAAAAACGTTACGTCGGAAAATAATTTAAAATTCCAAAGAAATTATAAATTAAAGCTATGATAACATTGCTTTGAATGAAACAAAATTTTTCTTTGTCCATTTCGTAGGCTACTCAACAATTATTCGAATTAGAAACACAATTTTCTAGAATATTGATATTTCCAGAGTTTAACAATATCCACACATAAATCTCTCCCTTGCACTGACAATTGTGACGTTAGCCAACACTAGCAAGTTTTCAACACAAAGTTTTCAAAGAGATTTCACAGAGAACGCAACAAGCAGAGATTTTTCTAATGAAAACACAGTTTTTCAAGAGTTTATATTACTCCTCTCTCTCTTTCTTAGTCTCTCTCCCTCTCTCTCTCTGCCCTGTCTCTCTCGTTTGGGTTGAAATGCAGTAATATTTTGTTTAAAATCTGGCAAAACAAAAGAATTTCTGATCTGTGATTAAGTAAAAGGATGTGTGCTTGCATAGATTGTGCGACAAATTTGAGTATGCATTCAGATTTTGTAGCTGTGAAATAACAATTGTATGTAATATATATTTCAGGACAAGACTCCTGAAGGTATGTGTCTTATATTAAGTCCTGAATCCTGCTGGTTTACATAAAGAAAAAAAAAGAATAGTTTTCGTTTGCGTTTGATTATTTGCTGATATACAGAGCAGCTGCGATATAGTAATGCGATTTAATCTATTTTTCAGAGCTTATTTTGAAAAGTATTCAGAAAACAACTGAACCTTTTTCTGTAAACTGCAACCGACTGAATAATACTCTGTTAATAAACTGACAAAATATAAAAACAGGCAACAAAATCTTCTTAGCTGTGGGCTTTTTATGACTCTAAAACTGCAGCCTTAAGAAGTATAGATTATAAAGACAGCTATGGGTATGATTTGAACTTAAGAGTAGGTAAAAAGTGAAGACTTTCTAATATATAGATAACGATTCTCGCAAACTATCCGCAGCCTGCTGCTGTGCGTGGCAAAAAAATGCTTTCTAAATATCAACGAAAGATATATATTTATACTTCGCATAGAATCTCACAAAGTAGCCATCAAACAAGGTATTAAAACGCGTAAAGAAGACATTGTAAGAGTTAAGCCTATAATCTGGTTAATCGGATGGCCAATAACTCTTGACTTTATGAGCTTAAAAGATATATTTGCTTTGCCGCTTCGCTCGAGTTGTGCCACACTTTCCACTCTTGATAGTGGGCCGTAAAATAGTGCAGCTTTCTTTTAGGCCAGCCAATAAATGTTGCCTCCGAATGACGCACAACTTATTCAAAGCGCCATAAAATCACACAGCTGCCCAGTGCAGCCCCCCTCCCCCTCCCCTCCAGCACTTGCCTGGGGTATCTGCGTCGAGTCGCATAAATCATGAGTCGGCGAAAGACTCGAGAGTCGAGACTGTGTGGCAAGTAGCTGCTGCTGTTGCTGCTGCAGGAGGCAACTGCCAGGCGTAGCACTAAACACACACTAAGTGGATTTGTGAGGCAGCAAACAAAGAGGGGGGAGGGGCATATGGGCGGTGGGCAACAATAATAAGCGACTGTTCTATCTGTGTGTGTTTGTTTTGTGGATAAACTCGGCTGCAATTTGTTTGCTTTCGACATTTTTTGGGGAATTTACTAAAAAATGGGTTATTACGAGCTTAGAGTCCAGCAACAGAGAGACAGGCCGCCCCTCGGGGCAACAAATTTGCATGAAAAGGCCAAACCGAACGAGAAAAAAGCATTTGAATAAGAGCCAGATAGCTGTGCTTAGAGATACCCTGTAAATGTATTCAATTATGCTACAACTTCGGTTTTAGATTCAGCTGAGAGAGCTCAACCGGCTGATACCCTGTACTTTGGCAATGCCAACGAGAATGATAGCTAAGTCTTAGACCCACATGGCTATATATGCAGACGAGAGTGCCCGACTGGCAGATACCACGTGTATCTATATGTATATCACAGTGCATATATAAGAGTTGCTAAACTCCGCCTGTTACCTAACTACACACCTGCTGGATATACCCCATTTGAATGATTTGCAGGGAATGTCGAAATAGACAAACAGTGCGTATGCTTAACGCAAAAACGATTAAGTTGTTTCAAGTCGATTCGATTCCAGAGCTCAGCTCAAGCACGGGCAAATTGAAAAGCAGCAAAAAGTAGTCGGCTGAAGCCCACCTCTCTATGTGGGCGTTGTCTAGATAGGCGTGGCATGTATAAAGTTATGCGCATAATACGCACAGCTCACGTATTGGCCATAAAATACGATAGAGAACAAAACAACAACCAAAATAAAAAACGAAAGGGAAATCCCAAAGAGTTGGAAAATCTAAAGAATATTCTTATACAAAAAAAAAGGCAGGCAAGAAAAGAAAAACATTGAAACGAAAAGCGGATTCGCTTTTTACTTTGGCTGACTTTTTGCCCTGCTTTTTATCCCAGCATTCGTTTTTCTTCTCCGCCGGGTTTTCTGCTTTTTTGGGTCAAGTTTATGCAGATGCCGAAAGCCGTGCAGAATGGGCGACAAAAACGCGCTTAGAAATTTTCGCACGCCGCTGCAAAAAGAGGCGGCGGAGCGGGGCGGGGCGGGGTCGGTTTCAGCATGTTAAAGAGCAGTTGTTAAAAAGGATTTACCGTTTTATATTTGTATGCGCCATGTGAGTGGTAAGCATGGGGGTAGCGGGGCGCCTGCTGGCACGCATTGGTATTTGGCCAAAAGTGATGCAGAGAAAAGCCAAGAGAAAGGGAGAGAGGGGGAGGGCGGTAGCTAGGTGAAGCGTAACACTTTGCAATGCGGCGATTTCGATTTTGAAATTCAAATTCTAATAAATTTTCCAACGATTTGGCACACAATGCCAAGCGCCCAGCCAGGCCAGAGATCTTATACGAACTTTCCCCCCGCCAACTTTATTTCTTTCGGCAAATCTTTTGGCGGCGAGTATTTGGTTTTGGCACAACGGGTGGCATTTACAATGGAGCAAAGAACTTTTCAGGACAGCCGCTCGCTTAAGTATGCAACAATTTGCAGACAAAGATGTATTCCGTTGTCATCCTGGCTAGCTGCTGTGATTCAAAATTAATGCGCTGTTTACACATGTGTCGGGATTGCGATGTCAGACAGAGAACGAGAGGGAGATGGAGAGAGTAGGGTGGGGGAGTAGTTACGGTCAACAGCCTGCGGCATATTGCAGCTGCACTTGGCAAGGATCCGCGTACAGAAAATTAATTTTGAGCTGCCGCAGGCACTGACTGCCCAATGTTGACATTCAATTGCAATTTGCAATTGTTGCAGCAACAACAACAACTCGAACAACAACTCGAACGTCGAGCTGTAATTAATTTTTTAACAGCCACCAGCAAAGCCGCCGTCGCAGCAATCAGTCAGCTGGCAAATTAAAGGAATTGTCCGTAGCTAGTCAACCCAACATGCAACATGCAGCATGCAGCATGCGACAACTATTGTAAAAGGCGGCCAGCTGAAAATTAAAGCTGCAATTAAATAATAAAAAAAAAAGTAAAAAGCTGCTTATGCAAAGGCCTGTTCGATACAAAAGTTCCTTTTTTTTTATAGTATTAAACTGTATATGCATGAAGAAACAATGTGCAAATCATATATAGTATAGATGAAGTACTTATTAGATTATTCGAAGGGTCTTTAATCTTTAATCTAGAAAGACACTTCGAGTAATCTGATAAGTACTGCATCTATACTATATACGACTTGCATATTATTTCATAAAGCATTTCGCAGTTATGTAATACTTTCTCTTCATCTACTTTTAATTAGAGCATTAATTAATACGAGATATTGCCCAACAGACCTTAAACAGCGCTGCAAAGAAAGAAAGTATAAACCCTTCACAACTAGAGATCATTTGGAGATAGCGTGTATGCTTAAGCGAAATATATAACAATACACAATTAGACAAAAGCCTAGAGCTTAAAAACAAGTCCATCTTCTACATTCTTGGAATAAAATTTGTATTCGTCTGGCTGCAAACTGAGTTAAGGTTTTGCTGCCAATTCACACACTTAGTGAGCAGTTGTATCTTTCAACTTGGAAAAGAAAAAATGTTGTTAAATAATTAGAGGCTGCAACTTTAATCTCTCTTGAGATCTGATAAATGCTCTCATATAATTTATTAATGTTCTTCCCTGCGGTATTAAGTATACGCCATATATTGATTGATTAAACGAACTGAGCGTATGCAAACTGAGCGTGTGTTTGAAATCATTTTAGGCCAAATACTCGCACTTGTAGTCTGTAAGCACACACATACACACACAGACACAGACACACACAGCTGCCTTTTAGACCTAAGTTAAGCTATGCAAATCGAACAAATTTCGCTAACCATTTGGCTTTCTCTCTTCTCACACACATGTCTTTGCCACTTTGTCTCACATCAAAAACTCATCAAAAATATATATATATATATATACAAAATAAAAATAAAATTAACAAATACCATTAAATTGATAAATTCTACGCACAGCGGACATCATTCAGGATGTTACGCTCTAACGGAGCGCGCAGGCTGAAGTAAGTTAATGCCAAGGACACGCCAGCGAATCCTTGCGCAATGATGCCCATGATGATTTTCAAGAATTTTGAGTTCCACTTACCAAAAAAAAAAAGCATTTTTTTTTGTTGCTAACTTTCATTTTTGCCTGTTGAAGTTTTTGCTACATGTCCCTTAAACACCGACACGCCCACACAGCCGCCCACAATTCAGTTCATCGTGTGTTTGTTTATGCCAACAACAACAAAAATACAGTTTTTGATTAGCATATACATATATATGTATATATATATATTATGTATAATTTGTTTGGTATAATTTTGTATTTCTGTTCGGTTTGGCTTTGTTTTTAATTGTTTGCGCATGAGTCTCAAGTTTTTGGTCAGTTCTTGAAACTAATTTCGAACAATTTCGTTGCAGATTCACCATATCACGACGTAAGCGGCCTGCCGAACCCCTACAACATGGAGCACATGGAACAGGATGAGGTGCTGCCGCCCCAACAGCACATGTCCCTCGGCTACGATGACAGTTTCGAGGGCGAATACTCGACAACGCCCAATGCTCGAAATCGTCGTGTCATACGCGAAATTATTGTCTAAGCTAACTCTCGGATACACAATAATGAAAACAGCTAAAGCAGCAGCAACAACAACAGCTACACCAACAAGAAGAACAGGCACTTTTATCTAACTATACAACACCCTTACACGCCCCGCACCCCACATCATGCACCATCATCATACAACATCATGCAAAGGTAAAAAAAAATCTCCCCATCAGCATTACAACGAAATCTCAATTTTATTTACTTAATTTTTTACTCAATTTGAGAAGTGGCCATTTTTGAATTTTTTTGATACTTATATAGAGTTTTTGTTGTTTATATAAGAAGGTATGATAAATCGATAACGAAGGGAAAGAATGCGATAACGATAAATGCTAGTTTAGTTGAGGGTACGTGTGTTGAGTTTTATTGGCAACGAATTGATATATACATATATGATATGATATGATACGATACGATATTTCGATAGTTAAGGCATCGAGTTTCTCATTATCAAAACAGCTCTAGTTAAGGTCGTGGCAGCACTTTGTTGACACACACACACACACACACACTCACACAGTCTCCCACACACTCACACACATGCACTAAATGTTAAATTACTTACTTATATAGAACAGTTAAGTACAGTAAAACCTATGCTATTAGGTCCCAGTCGCATTCGCAAGAAACGGTACGAAATTTACGTTTAAGGCATCAAATGTTGAAATGAGCATATTTCAAAAAAAAAAACAAAAAAGGAAAAAGAATATATATAGAAAACAAACAAAAAAATATATCTCACGTGTTTTTCGCAACCGTTCACCGTAGCATATAAGAAGTAATCATTTAAGAGTTGTGGCCGCGAATTGTTGCTTTGACTTGATGCGCTTCTGAGTGGGCTATAAAAGTTGAACATGCGAATACATTTTATCGCCTACTTGGCAGCTGTGTTAGCTGGCGCTCAGCCTCAAAGTACAACTTCAGAAGCATTTCCAACGCATGTTTTAGTTAAAAATTAAATATATTATATAAAAATATAAAAAACAAAAACAGTACGACCTGCCACAAAAAAAATCTACATTAATTTACATTAAACATTAGTTTTAATATTTTAAATAAAACAGAAAAAAAAAGAAACTCGAATTACATAAAAATAAAGTATTGCTTTAAGTAAATCATTAACAAGAAAAACTTTACAAAAATTATTACAAATAATTCAAAAACTAAATAAAAAAATTAAAAGAAAAAAAAAACAAACAACCGACAACTGTGCAGCTTGACAACTTTAAATTAATTTAAAAAATTATAAAAACTCATTTTGTTTTGTTCTCTGAGCTTTCTGTTAAAATTCAAAATTTTTATTTTATATAAAAAAAAACAAAAGCTATTTACATACATTAAGTTATAGAAATATATTTTTATATATATTAAATTAGCGCTTAAATTTTTATAACTGTTTTTAAACGCGTGTTGTTCGATATTTTTCGTTGTTTGTTTTTGCAACTTTTTGACGCTGGCACACGAAATGCAAAAAGTGCATGAAAGAGAGAAAGGCAGAGAGAACGTTTTTTGTAGCTAAGAATTAATTGTAAATACATGTGTAATTTGTATATATTTACTTGATATACAAAGTAAATAAGCAGCGTGCAGCAAAACTTAAATATAAATTGTAGTTAATTTTAAACAATTTCAACATGAATTTAACTAGTAAGCTAATTAATTAAGCGAAACATGTTTAAAAGCAAATGCAATGCCACAACAAATCTAAAAATAAAGAAAAATAATAAATAAACAAAAAAATAAAAACAAAAACCGCATCACGAGCGAACATCCCTTGAAGAATCTTTATTAAATATAAATTATACACTGCAAATGCGAGCATTATATATACACATAACATATATACATCTACTTATTATTTGTAAATAAGTAAAAACATCTATTATAATTTCAAAAACAAAACAAAAATCCATTAAAAATATATTTCCAAAAATAAAAAAACTAACTTACATTCTTTGTATGCCACAAAAATCTTGAAATGGCAGGGAAGTTGGGCTATTTAGCTTATAAACAATTTCGTACGCATTTTTAATTTACAAATTTTTAGTTTATACACATACCTAAATATCTATATACACTTTTTAATAATATAATCGTTACACAACAGCAGAAATTGAATTGAAATGCCCAGCCCTTTTTTTGATTTCTTCGGGGGCGTGTCGACATTAATAAAGCCAGCGACAATAATTGCAAGAACAACATTTGCCGGCTGCATAATGTGCCACGTCCCATTTGATTGGCATAAAATTTATTGCATGCAATTTGACTCGGAAAGTGGCAGCGCCAGCGGCAACACTGGCAGGCAACGTTGGCAACTCTGGCGCCCGGAAGTAACACGACACTTGACATTTTAATTTAATGCCGAGCGCAGCCGTCGCTGACAACGCTGCAGTTTGCATAAGCAGCAGCAGCAACAGCAACAACAAGCTGACAGGCCAAGCGGAGGATGAGGTGCAAGGACAAGTGTCCTTAATGCTAACTCATGAGTACATAAAATCGATTATTATTATAGACATTCAAGGTGTATTGCGACATATCCGAGCATATTAATTACTGATGCAAAGCAATTTGCTTAGTTACCTTTATGGCCAGATGCTTTATAACAATATATGTATGTATGTATGTATGTGTACATTCGTGCATATGATAAGAATTCAGTTTCTGACTGAAATTGCCTTGTCAAAATAGCAAGTATTTCAACTGGTATTTCATTAGTAAATAATGTCACAATTTAAGCTTCTCTTTACTTAGCTTACGCAATAATATGCGACAAAGCCTACAGGGAGGCAGAGCCCACACAAATGATAATAACAATATGTCAATCAGGCAGAGCTGAGGATATTTAGTTGACAGCAGCAACTTATTGTTTATTTAATGTCAATGAGCAAATGCTGTTAGCTGACAAATTCACATCTGAAATAGTTATACATAAAACTGATGCGAGCTGTGGCCAATCAAGTTATCGAACATGGCCAATAAGTTGACAACAAGATTCCCAAATTTCGGACTTAATGTACTCGAGATATTAGATATTATAGAATCGATTGCAGTCAAAATTATTAGATTTCAGAACCGACCCCATTTTAGCAAAAATTGTCATTTTGGGTCAAGTCTTAGAATGCGGATTTTTGGATGCCAATCGAAAGTCGGGACCCGTACGAGTTGGAAGAGGTATATCATTCCGAAATCAGACTATATTTACTCTGGATATTTAAAAATCAAATATGCCTTGCCATTTCGGTCATTTTTGGAAATGTCTTGTATATCGAATTTTTAATGTCAATCGATGGTCCTGATCTTTATTTATAGAGAGCTGGGAAAGGACACAAGGACCAAATCTAACAAAATTTCCGTTGGAATAAAAACAAGAATTTGGATATGTTTTTCATGTAATTTATTTCTCTTCAAATTATATAGATACAAGAAGAACTTTTAATGGTTGCTTATTTTAGATTTTTTTGGCGGACTTTAATCTATCTCGGGTAGTTGATCTGCGATCCTCAATTTATATGGCTTTTTGCATACTCGTGGAAGTAAATAAAAAGAATCGATTCGAATTTTGCTTCAATCTGAAACGATAAACATATATTAGAATTAAACAACAAACATAGACAAAACATTTAATAAAGTTCGATATTGGGAAGTTGGGGCATATCGGATTGAATTTAAGATCAGGGTAGAAAGGAATTTCCTACTTAAAAATGAAAACGTAATGTGCACAATGCTGGGAATCACTAGTATCTAAATAAATAAATAAATGGTTAATATTTGGCTAAAAGGTAATAATTAAATGCAGGTGTGCATTCTTTTGAAAGCGATTTTTAATGAAATCGCACAGATATTAATTTTAGCACTAAATAATCAACGCAACCACAAAAATTCAAGCAATGTTGGCCACAAACAAAACAAATGTAATAAAAAATAATAATATCCAGCCAAAAAATTTCCCAAAAACAAAAAAACAAAAATAAAAATAAATTGCCAAAAATGAGTCGATAAAATACGTGCCGCAGCTGCTGGACCCACCATATGTCACAAAACTAGGCCAGTGGCTGCATTAAATAAACACGCATATATGTATATTTAGTTGTACGTTATATGTGGGCAAACCAAACTCGAACCTGGTGAACTGCTGACCCGACGACCTGGCAACCTGGCGACCTGGCAACCCGGCGTCGCATTCATTCATATATTAGAGAGTCAAACAAATGCGTCCATATGCAATTCATTTGCTGCCATTCAGAAGACGTGCCACGCCCAGCCGCAGCGCCACTTCAGCTGTTCGGCCACGCCCACCACACACCCACACAAGCACACACACTCGCACACGCACGTGGTGTGCGGAGGGGGTGAGTGGAGGGCAGAGGTGTATGTCAATTAAAGCGCTGCCGGTGCCGCCTAATTGGATTTATGCCACATTTATATGTAGGTGCAAATTCGTGGAATTGCGGCGCAGCGAGACTCGTGCTAAAAATCACCAGGATAATGAGCGGCGCAGAGAGCACGGAGCGGGGAGAGTGGGTTGGAGCAGTGGCAGCGAGGCCATTAGTTGAGCCAGAAACTCGACGTGAAACATGGCCGAAAACAATTGCAAGTTGTTGTTGTTGCGAGTACCAGCAACTTTCGAGGACTTAAAATGAAATTACGCGAAAACTTTCGGACGCAGCAATGCCAACTTTTTGAAGAGATCAGCCTGCCACGAGTGTGCGGAGCGGTTGGGGGGCATTTCTATTGCGGTTTCTGCGTTGTGGCACGCACAACTTGCAACTTGTGCCCGTGGACACATAATGAGCTTCATAAATTAACACGAATTAAAGATGCGAACAAGTAATTTACCTATACGAACTAACAGGGTTTGTCTGAATCTCGTATAGGCACAAAAGGGCAGGCATTATAATACACAGAGACACACACACACACACTAGCACACACACATCTGCAAGTCGTATCCTTTGTGCAAGTTTTGCGGCCATTGGTTTGTAATTAATGCGACCAGCAGCTGACCAGGAGCTGACCAACAACCATCCCTGACTCGCCTGCGGTTGCCTAATGTTGGTCAGCAATTGCCCCGCAGCAGCGCACAGTCACTGTGACTGTCACTGTGATTGTGATTGTAACTGTGACCGTGGCTGCGACTGCGACTGTGACTGTGACTTGCCTCAAATGCGGTCGCGCTTGAGGCGTCGTTGAGTGCTTTTCTGTTTAATTTTATTAATTATCTGCGTAATCTTTGAAGTTGTCTGTGTGTCTGGATGCGTGTGTGTGTGCGTCTCCATATGTGTACAGCTTTGCATAAAGGTTGGGGCTTTCAACTGAGGGCGCCTTTCCTAATCGCATCAAGCTGTACGTGTGTCCGTCCTTGACAGCCAGACGAAAAGTTAGAGAAACTTCAACAGCCGGCGGTCATTTCGACAAAAGACTTAAAGAAAACGAATTAGACAGCGGCTGAAGGGCATCAAAGTAGAAGAAGCATAAAATAAATAATATAATTAAACATCGATTAAAACTCTATAAATGTGCGCTCAAAATTAAAAGGTTTTATTTTGCCGAGAATGCATTAACAACATAAACAAAATCAAACAAGTAAGATTCTCTAGTCGGAAGTTCCCGACTAGGGGATACCCTGAACCCACTTTAACAAACACCAAATTCAGCTTGCGCTACACGCTCGTTTCTTTTAGCAGTAATACCGATATTTACCCGAGATATTCAATAAAAATCATCAAAAAAGTTTTTATTTT